GTTTAACAAACAAAACACTTTGGCACAAACTAGATTCCACTAGAACCCTCTAACTCTTTGAGAGTCATTTACTCTTAGGTTAAACGAACTGTAAAAATCAAGAGACATTACCTTAAACATTAAGGAGTTACGCTGCCAATCCAAAGACGAGCAGTTCAAATCTATGAGCCGATTCATAAAAGAATCTGCTCCTGAAAACCTGCCAGAGGGTTAACTACATCACCACTACTATGATGCATATAAATAAGCCTTTTACTAACAGCATAATGTTCTGCATGGACATTAATAAAACTTCTATCTCATTAATCTACGTAATTTTCACTTAACCAGCATTGTGGGTGTTGGCTTTTTAAGTCTGACTTGAGACTTCAAATCTGAAAGGTAGACAAGTAATCTGTAGTAACATAGCTGAGAATTATACATTTACAGAAGACAAAAGTGCCAATCATTTTAACTTCAACACTACCAAATTCGATGTATATACATTAATATGTACTATAAGAAGTCATAGAATGATACAAATTCATCACTGTTCTAAATTTTTATGATGAATTCAAGTTTCATCCTAAATAATGTCAGATTAAGAAAGTATCAAATACTGAATTTTAGTATATTCAAGAGTTGTTACAGGAAAGACTTAAAATTATTATCCAGGCATATAGATAAACTTTGTGGATGCAGTAATCAGTACTATACAAGCCCCAAATCACAAGTCCACTAGTTTAATATAAAGAAAAATGATACACTTTAAAACATTTACTCACTAAAGTGGAGTTCTGGTGGGAGAGTAGGTTATATGTTGGGCTACTAACCCAAAAGTTAGCAGTTTTAATACACCAGTTGCTTTGCAAGAGAAAGGCAGTTAGAGTCCATTAATGTTAAAAGCCTCAGAAAACTGGTCAAGAGCCAGAGACAGACTTGATGGGTTGGGTTTGGTATGTGAATTCAAGGAATTTCATTATGTATGTCCCTGTTGCTGTTATGTGCCCTCAACTCATAGTTGACCCTCCAACAGGTTTTCAGAGGCGGTAAATCGGTAAATCGCACAGGAGGAGAATGTCTATATTTCTCCCCCAGAGCAGCTGATGGATTTGAACTGCAGGCCTCTGGGTTGCCAGTGGAACTACTTTACCCACAAGGTCACCAGTGCTTCCTTTATTCCCCTTAAACAAATCAACTACTAGAATCTCCTAGGGAGCTCTAGTGGCCTAGTGGGTAAGGAGTTGTGCTGCCAACCCAAAGGCACATGGTTTGGGAAAAAGATGGACAACCTCCTCCCATGGTGATTTACAGTCACTGAAAACCTGTTAGAGGGTCAGCTCCGAGTACTGACTCAATGGCACATCACAACACCACCACAAACAACTTGTTTTCTCCACTAGGGTCCAGGAAAGTCAAGATCCTCTTATACAGCCCTATTAACCACTAGTCTATTAGGAATGAGATCACTGTGGTTTCCTTACCACTTGAGACCATATCACCACCACTTTCCAGTCTCTTCTGAAGCAGAGAAAGACTAAAGGCCACTGCAAATTACTAAAAGTGCTGGTTCATATATCCTGGAACATGTTTTATTCTCTCCAAATGAATGCGCTATCAGAATTCTGTTAATAACAGTACACTCTCAAAGGCTTAGATAGGCACAAGATGGTGTGGGTAATACCGGAATTATAAGATTAAAAATCACCTCTATGATACAACATGGAAATAGAGGTTCCCTAGAAATGGATTCACATAAGGAACTTCCATTTCTACAGACTGGATGCAGTAAGATTTTCATTCAACTAAGCTCTAAATCCTTGAGGTTTAAAACAACAAAATTTAAAGAGTTACTGTATGAAATATTCCTGTCTTCTGGCACACAGCTGCACAATCCTTCCATTTAAACTTCCAAGTTATAATGAAAACAAAACCAAGTATGCACAGGATCCTATTTACACTTCCATACATACATATGTACACTGTACAAACTAAACCTGTAACATACCAGAATACACCACTTAACATCTCCAATTTATAATACTAATATCAGTGGTCATCAACTACACACATAAAACCATTAACAAGACAGAAAGATATGTGCCTGTAAGGGATCCTTACAATTAGGTTTTCAAAAGACTTTTGGCTGCAGTTGACAGTTCACAATTGCAGCCATTCATTAGAGTTCCTGGAATGCAGGCTACAGAATTCACACTGCCCAGCTATCTATGGAAAAAGATCTGTGGACTGTTCCTTTTCCAAAACAGTTGGTAATATTTTATTGCACCCCTCTCCCATTTACAGAAAAGGAGTGTGTTAAGTGTGTAGATAACTTTTGTAATGTTCCAAAGGTGACTATTTCTTGAGGAACTGCATTTTTGACCATCATTATTTAACACAGTCCACACAAAATTAATTTGAAGAGTATTAATGATTGATAATTATGCCTTTCTATTTAGAATGACAAACATTACAGTCATTAACAAGATAGAACTAAAAACAATTTCAAGATATTTTCTTAACTTTTACATCTTACAACCATTATCCCTTTAAAAGGTTTACTATATTAAGATCTAGAAATGAAAGGCTGAGTTCTTATAACAAAAATGGCTTGAAAAAATGTGCCCATAAATAGCCTTGCATCAAGTAAAGCAAATCCACAGTTTTCTATATCAACTTGAACACTTCACTGTTATTTTCCTTCCTTTCTTTTCAAATAAATGTGCCTTCTCACTAACATCTTAAATTTTTTTTAAAAGCAAACACTCTTATCCCTGAGGATCTGAAACTTGTTAACTGACATAACAAAATCAATGCCATAATTACTCAAGACCTCTCAATTTATTTAAATGATGCAAAATAGCACTATGTAGATTTTAATTTGGAAAAGCAAGCTCAAATCATCACATCAAAATTTTAAATAATAGCATCCCCTCAAAAGTACATACCTCTGTAATGAAATATCAGGAACTGCTATTTAATTATAAAACACAAAAGGCTAAAATGTTTTTTTTGTTTTATAAAGGCTTTCTTTCTTTTTTTTTATAAAGGCTTTCTAATGGGGGATGGAGAGGAGGGAACCTACTATTTCTACTTAATGGATTTATTCCTTCACCAGGTGTGTTGGTCCAATGACAAAACAGTCAAATGTGTAAGATTACATCTGAAGAACTAGCCAATTTAAAAAGCCAGCAAAGACAGTGACAAAATGAAAACACATAATATGCAATGCAGGTTTAAAAGACCTAGTGGAACATTCAAGAACTGCACACACAAACTGCAAATACTACAAACAACTGTATTTAAAATGAGACTCTTAATATTAGCTCTTTTTAATAAAGTTATTTTTACGGTCATATTCTAAAGAATACATCCTCAAAGTTTCCATATGTCAACAGTTCTTTCTGCTTTGCATGATATCATCATACAAAATTCTAGGGAATGTAAGTACATATGATGTAACAGAGAGGTATGAAGAAGAAAAATGCCTTCTGTCAAAGGCAGGTTACTACAATAAGGATGCAGGAAGAGTTTAGGAAACCACCTATGGTTTCCTGATGAGAGATGGATGGGGGCAGTGCACAGGGAGTAGAAGGTAAACTGTTATTTACTATACTATGAGGAAAAATTGTCTTCTAGCAGCTAAAAAAGGGAAGATGCCTCTTGACTACTACTAAAGGTGATAAAGGAACCTAAATTTACATTTTGGGGTGTACAGAATCAACTATACGAGGGTTTTTTTCCCCCTGAGCAGTTTGGAGAATAAGTTTATTTGCTAGTAAACCATAAAACTTCTCCTGACTAGCTGGCTGAGTGCACTTAATAGTTCTCAAAACGGCAGAAAGCTCCCACCACCAAATCACTTATGTTTAAAAAAAAAAAAAAAAAAGGGAAATTTAAGCATCTAACAAAAATTCAAGGTTAATCAGAAACTGAAAGTAAAGCATGTGAAGAAGGAACTCACAAGGAGCACAAAAAAGGCCTTAATAAATTTCACTGTTTTTGAGTAACACTTACTCCAGAAACTTGTAAAAAAACTTTTGACCTTTTACTACATCTAAAATAATCTCAAAACCAAAAACCTCAGCAAATGTCTAGAAAGTTTCTGAAATTTTCTTTGCCAACTTTAAATCTTTTGTAACAACTCTTTTAAAAACCAACAGTTCAAGTGCTATCTCCTCAAAAGGATCTAAAAGCCTCATTAAATCATGACCAGTTATCAAACTGGTGTGCCAATACACTGATTTCCACTTAAACCACACACAGCACCCCTTAAGTAGAGGGAGCCCATTGTGGGTTCTTTAAATTTCTGCCACTTAAAAGGATTAAAGCTTTTATTATTAAGAGTTTACTGTATACAGCTCTTTCCTACAACCAAGAATATATTATTTCTTAAAGGAAACCACACACACACACACACACAAACCAATCAGTGTCTGAAGTCCCTCAGTAAGTCTTTTGAGGTCTAGTCTCTCCTTATTAAAAGGCATTTTGTCATTATCTAGCCAACTTTTTAAAAAAAAAACAAACAAAAAACAAACCAAAAAAAACACCAACAAACCCAACACTAGAATTTCTTCTGGCTTCCTAGCTAAGTTGATTTTCATGTATCAGCTTCGAAACTCACACTGGCAAAAAATGCCATCATAGTGCTGTACTAGGATGAAAATCTAAGAAAGGGACGGCCCCAGGAGGGAGCTTGACTTCTGACCCCTCCCTCAAAAGGAAGGCCTGGGCTAAAAGGCACCTTTGGACTGTGCACTATTGCTTCCCGAGTCATTTCAGTGCTTTCCAGCAAACAGACAGGAGACGATGCTCTCTCCCTACCCATCTCTGCACTGGCCCATCTCGAGTTCCTCTCTTGTTTCCAGGCGTTGGTAAATTTCATTAAATAATGAGTGCTAAAACAAAAACCACACACACACACACACACCCAAGCACGCGTGTCCCCAGGCTCCATCCTAAGCCCAGCTTAGGTTGTGGCCAAGCCTTCGCAGCAGGGCCCGGGGAGGTCGCCCTACCTGTCTTCATCACCATCCACCGGGATGGCGATGCTGAACACGGAGGTGGCCAGGCTGTTGATGGGCGTTAACTGGAGGGGGTGGGCCAGGGCGTCGGCCACCGGCGGCTTCGCCACGGGCTTGGGGTCGGCACCCAGAGAGAGTGGCGCTTGAGGTAGGGCTTCCGATTTTCTTCTCGCGTCGTCCGCCGGCTGCGGCTGAGTCTGCAACTGGCTGAGGTCGGGCGGCGGCAGGCTGGCCGCGGGCAGGCTGGCCGGAGCGCCCTGTGGGCCGAGCGTCGGGGGCGCGTTTGGCAGGGTCACAGCGGAGGCGCTGGGCACGCTGGGCACGCCG